TTAAGATTGATTGGTTTGACCTCCTAGCAGTCCAGGGGACTCCTAAGAGTCTTGCAAGGAGACTTCTTGTGGGTATCAAGTTAGCCACCGTGCAATAAAAATCTGGATTAAACAGACCTTTGTCTGATTCAGTATGGCAGTTCTTATGTTACTTAATCAAAGTGCTAGCTTGGCTTCTCTAACACAGAACTGTGTCAGACCAAACACACACACATGCACAAACACTGAACATCTATAAATAACTTCAAATTTATTTTACTTGTTTTTCCTCTACTATAAGATAACATTGTTATCAAAAAGAGTAGGATGCATTAGGCAATTCCACTCTTCCACAAAACTGTTAGGAGTCCCTGGGCAACTTACTCTTTTAGCTTCAATTTCTTAACTGTAAAAAGGAAATTACAATGTTATCAGGCTGTTCATCTTCATAATAAGATAAAGGTTTCAGCATCTTTTAGATTAAAGTATATTAAATTATTGAAACTATGCTAAAACCTCTCATGGCATTCATAAATTAGGGGAGGGCAGGTAGAGACAATAATACCAAATTACATTATTTATATATAATTATATATCCAACACACATCAAGGATAAATTATACTATTTATAAATAACATACCACCAGCATGCATGTGTTTTACACATATAAAAATGGAGATTCCTATACTAGAGTACTTGATCTAATTCTATGGAGGAGAAACAGAAGCAGAAAGGAAAGAATATATAAGATTAAGATCCTGTTGTGGTATGACTGAAATCCAATTAAATGTTATTCATTTATATTTATTGATTTATATTTCAAATTTGGTCACCACCCATCTCACTAGGAAGTGACTCTGGGCAGTTTACAATAAAAACAAAAAATAAATATTAATCACAATACAGTAAAAATAGTATAAAAATACAATAAAACCAAATACATAATAAATAACAATATCTTCCAAGGTGCTGCTGGTAGAAAAGATATTAACATACAGGGGCATCTTCAAGGTGCTAGCCACCCCCAGGGTTGGTTGCTCCTTTTCTTGCCCTATGCAAGTTGGCACAGACAGGTCTTAACTGCTTTCCAGAAGGTCAAGAGAGTAGGGGGCTGCCTCACCCCTGGGGGGAGGGTATTCCATAGGGTGGGGGGGAGTTATGGTATTTACTTCTGAGTACGTACCCACAGAATTATTCTGTTAGAGTTGCTTATACAATATTGCATGCAATCTAAGAAAAAGCACTTCATATAAATATCAATTTTGCAGAGGCAGCTCTACACTTATTCATCATTTTAAAAAGATCAGGATATGGTGATGACAAATAATGCAACAAAGGTTAAAATATTCACAAAACAATACGAAGAAGCAGAATCTATTCTGAATGATTAACTAATGAATCAATGAAGTAATAAGAGTACAGTGCATTATTCTCCTCCCAGTATACTCTATTATTACTACCAGCCACTACACAGAAATATTCTAAAAAGGTTTATCAATGCTTATAATCAAGGAGCATAAAAATCCCATACAATAGGTTAAAATAATCAGCTTAGAATACTTATCTAAATGTTGCAAGTTAAGCAAAATGGTATTTACATATGGTTCTTGAACAATTAAAAAATTTCAGGTGACAGTAATTCAGCAAAGGGAGAATGATTTACAGCATAGATGTTTACGTATTTTAAATTGGCTACTACTGTATGTTAAAAAACAGAACAGGCAAATTTTAAAAACCTTCCAGAATTGTTCCCAGGACCACATCATTCCCCCATTATTCTAAAATGATCAGGTCAGTAGCTGGACTGCTATATTTACTGTAATAACAAAGAATTTGAAAAGAATAATAGAGAAAACCTGCTTTCTTTTGTTGAACAAAAAACAACATAGCCCTTGGCTGCAAATGGAAACTGTTATTTCACAGTAGAAGGGGGTGCCTAAATACACATAATTTGGTTTCTGTACAATGAAGGGGCTCATCCTCATGTCTTCCTAACCATAGCACAAACAAATCCTAGTAAAAATTTTTATCTGCTATGTCCTCATGATGTTGTCTTCCTCTCATCCCCATCGCACAGCTGAAGCAGCTTAAAGTCATATTTAGCTATTCCAATTTTAAAGTTGTGTTTTCTGCCTTTTTCCAACCCAATTTTTGCTATGGGGACAATCTGGCACATGTCAGTGACAATGTGCTTGATGGCATTGTCAAAAGCTAAGATCTGCCCAGCTCTTAATGGTTACCTAGGCCTGCTGCAGGCTTGCCCCCTCTTTTGGTTACCAGGTACTGCCCTCTACTGCCATTTTGGCTTGCAAAGAAACTGGACACCTGACATCTGCAGTGGCATCTGCACATGTAATATCTGACAGATTCTTTCCAAAGCATGTGCAAGATCTCACACAGGATCCTTATATACACAAGTTTAATCCTCTTTGAAAGAACACTAGACTGGTGTTTACAAAACAGAACTTGCATTCCCTTGAGAGTACACAATGTCCGTGCTGCATAGAAAGTCATTTTAATTACAACTTTTTTGTTGTTACTGTATCACCACACTCTCTATATGGGGAGGGTGGAAGAGTGGGAAGGTCTGGCAGTTTCTCAGCAGCTTCCTATTTCCTAGCTCTTTTTGAGACCCAGGCACATCACATCAGAAGGCAAAAAGAACATGGAAGCACCATGATACCAACCTGCTGCAGCACTCTTTTAGGTTATTATTATTGTATCAGATCTTTCCCTATTTGCTCTGGAACAGGCAGCCTTTTTTCCTATTGCTTGGAACCAAGCCCAGGAATCCAAGAGGAAAAAGAGGCATTGCTTGGAGATTGCTGGATATTCATATTCTCATTGGCCACTCCTCTCTTCCCCTCTGCCCACTTTTAAATTATTGGAAATGCCTGATTTACAAAATCACTGCAACACCTTTATGCAGGGCATGTGTGAAACCCTTCTTTTTTCTCACAATACTTCTCTTTTTCTTTTCAACTCAATTTGTTTTTAGCTTCCAGGTCCTCCTCACACAATTCCTGCATATGCAGTCTTCTCAAACAGCTCCCCCAATTCCTTCTTATGCTGCTTATAATCTTTTCCTGAGCAATACCAAACTTCATTCTTATGCCACCATCTGTTCTGTTTCCAATCTCTCGGCGTGATCTTTCAGTGACCCATCTTTAGAAATTGTCTGATGACAAGTCACAGGCACAGAGGAGAGGCTGTTCTGAGCAGGAGCATCAGAAGAATTCCCTCCTGCTTGCTGTGAGCCTCTCCTCTGCACCTGTGACCTGCCAAACAGGCTATTTTTGGACACAGGTTTAGTGCTCTTGAAAGAAAGAAAGGCTCATGTTTAGGAATAGTTTGACTGAAACTTTACAGGCTCAAGATACTTCCATGCCTGGAACCCAGTAGTTGGGCAACTTAATAGGTGGTGAAACTCAGCGTTCAAAGCACCCACCTATACTTGCATAGTCCTGCTTCTCTCCCCATTAAATGATTGGTGATTGTTTTTCTCACAGGCAGGTGACACTGGACAGGAAATGAAGCAAGAAGAATCCACCAACTGGTTTCCTTAACTTGTTCCACATTAAAACGGTAAGGACAGCCCCATTCACCATCCTTATCAGTGAAACAAAACAGGGCTTGACCATCAGAGCCGCTAATTTCCTGCCGGCGTGTTTTCTGCCGGCACAAGGACTGGGGGATGCACTTTACCATGGTCATCTAGCTGTCTCCTAAGTGTTGCTAAATAGAATCATTTCTCCAAACGCCAAGCTCTCTGAGTGTCCTGTGACCGGATATAAGGCATATGAAGACATTTCGTTGTTACATAGCTCCCAGGAGCCAGGCTTTTGGATGCTTTGGGTCGCGCCGTCTCAGACAACCGATACCGGCCCTTGTTGAGCAAAGCGCAGGCTGGGGACGGGGAGAGAGATCTGATGGACCCCTATTAGCCAAGGTGACCCAGAGACCCGTGGAAGGGCTTCAAGCGGAGCGACTGTCATGACAGGGATAAATCATAGCGCCTCCTCACTCAATCCAGCGTCTGAGGAGGCAAAAACGCGGAAGGGCTCGTTTCCCTCACTCGTGCTGGAGCGGTGAAAGATATTCACTCACGACGGAAAGCAAATTCTCCCGGCCAAAGTCCCAAAGGCGAAGGTCGGCACGCCGCAGCCGGCGTGGCCGCCACTAATTGCTTCTATCGGTACTTACAGCCCGTCTCCTTCTTGATCTCCTCAATCTCCTCGTCCCTAAGTAGCGTAGACGCCCGAGAGCCCATCGCAGCCACTTCACGACCCGTCAGGAAAGCACCAGTCGCTTGGCCTAGAGCCGGAGGTAGAACCAATCAGCTACGCAGACGTCGCACGAGCTCCTGCGATTGCAACTGACAGAATGCGCGACGCCCCCTCTTTATCATCCCAAGCTTCTCCACCCACTTCCCGCCCTACCGCGCGCAGCACAAACCGCCCCACCCCCTAGCGTTGCGTCTGCGCAGAGAGAGACGCTCCCACTTCGGCTGTCTATCGGTTCTATCCACCAGTTCCGTTCTGACGTCAGCACGGGCGGTTCTCACCCTTCTCTCCGAAAACTACAGAGTTCCGAGCAGAGCGGCGGTTATAGTTCCTTTATTTTAGGTCAAGTTGGCTTTCACCCCCTTTAACGATTACATTGGGCTTGTTCCTTGGCTCCTAATGTCGTGACGTACTTTATCTTACTGCGTCCTTCTCGTTACAGTACAAAGTATAGTATTGTGAGGATTGTAGTCGAGGGCTCTAAAGCATTTTTGTGATTGCCCGGTTTATTCCGACTGCATATCTGTTGCCTGCAAATGCAGTGTAGCAACTGATACGAGCTGGTCTCCACAATGACTTGAGTTCTGGTTGGTTGGAAGATGAGTCTTCCAGGCGTGAAGAAAACATTGAGCGTTGGTTGTGTAATTTATGTCCTGTAATTTGCTATCTAAAAGAACGGGCTAACAGTTTGTTAAGTATTTAAGGGAAATGAATTTCAACTTTAATAAGGAATGGGTATTCTAGTCTTGGTAACCAGTGCCCCACCCCACCCCACCCCTGGAATTTATAGAATATTGATCTGGGTGAGGAGCAAATCCTTCAAACCAGTTTTCAAAGTGGGTTAGGCCTTTCCTTAGTAGCACCCATGCAGAGGAAATGGAAGCTGCTAGCACTATGCATAGGTTAGGTAACTGGGCACTTAACACTGAAATGTGATTGTAATATGCAGTCTAAATACAATAGAAGATGGGAGTAGGCAACATGTTCTTGAAATGCCCTGAAGATTAATGTGTTTAATTTTAAAAAATGGTGGGGAGTATTTCAGAGTAAACTATGGGTCTTTGGCAATCTGTTATCTTAATGGAGAGCCAATTTAGTGTTAAGGCAGCAGGCTACAAACTGGGAGACTCTGAGTTCTAGTCCTGCCTGAGGCACAAAGCCAGCTGGGTGACCTTGGGCCAGTGCCTCTCCCACAGTCCTAAGAGAAGGCAATGGCAAACCACTTTTGAAACCTTGCCAAGAAAACTGCAGGGACTCTTCTGGGCAGTTGCCAGGAGTCAAAACTGACTTGAAGCCACACACACATATCTTTATTACAATTAATGCCATTTGGCACCAGTTCTTTTTCCCCTTGAAATGGGGCACTGGCAAACCACATTGGTTCATCTGGTAAAGTAGGGAGTTCTGGCCTGCTAGCAGGAAAACTGGTAGAGGTTTGCATGACTTGATGGAGCGGGAACACTAAGCAGACAGGCTGGTTGTGGACTGAGGACAGTTTAGCATAATGGGTGAGACGAGGAGAGAGAACAAATTTGATAGGGAAGAAATAGTCACCATTCAGGAAAAGAAAAACTGAGTAAAGTGACAGAAAAGAAAATCAGAAAAAATATTTGTTTTGCATGGGCTGTGGTTAGACAATAGGAATGCATGGCAGGGTTTGTATACTACATTAAGTCTTAAATGATTTGTGGAATACACAAGTAACAGTTCTTTCAACATTGTAAGCCATAAATCCTGGTTTAGAAACTACTATGCTAAAATCAAAGTGTGATGTTTCAGTTCACTGTGTGTGTGAGAGTAAGATGGAAAAGTAAGTTAAAGTGTTAAGTTGATCTTATGCATTGAGGATGTGAATATCTGAAAGGAGATACTGTGAATGAACACTGAACTGTTGAGTTCTTGGTGTTCTCTGAATTTGGTTGTTTTCCTGCAGATGTTTCGTTACCAGGCTAGGTAACATCAGGGCATGGGGGAATGAGGTTTGCTGGTAAGCTACTATGTATAACCAACCAACAAACTTTATTCTTCCATGTCCTGATGATGTTATCTAGCCTGGTAATGAAACACCTATAGGAAAATAGCCAAACTCAGAAAACATCAGGAACCTAACAGTTCAACCCCAAGTTACATATATTCTCTACTATTAGAAACACAGAACTATAGATTCAAAGGAATGGGTTTTAGAACTTAGATCCCATATCTATTTTTTATTAAGTTCTTAGATAATTTACTTGTCCTTTAGCATCACCAGTTTGACTTTCTGTGAGACGTGAAGTATAATAGCAGCCATGGTACTTTTAAAAAATTCTGTGTCATTTTTCCAAGAAATTTTAAGAATGCTTGCATTAAATAGCAACTTCCATTAAGTTAATAGGGCTGACTTCTCAGTAAGTGTATTTAACAATAGTACTCTATGTTAAGGATCTAGGGATTCTTCTATATACTGTAGCTTACTTTTATATACCTTTGAAAGCTTTGTCTTTGTATCTGTCTTTGTTGATTTTGGACACAAATAAATTAGATGTATCTTTTGTGGTGGTTTAACTATCACTGATTTGAATGAAGTATCCTATGTTTTGATATAGATATTATTTAGTACAGCTTTGTCTCTTTCTATTGAGACAAGTAGCAAAAGGAAGATCCGTGGAATTGACAGAAGTTTGTGATTCTCTACAAGTATTGGAATTCATCTGCCTTAACTTTGTTTTAAAAATGAAATTGTGTAAGAGATTGCACATATTAGGAATACAGTAAATTGAGTCCAGATTAGAGATATTTGTACTCTTTATAGCTCACTTTTACTGTGTAAAGACATCCCAGATTCTGTTTCATTCCAGTGTCTTTAAATTTTCTACTGTTTCATTTTTTGGTTTCAGAATGGCAGTTGTGTCCAGATAACCTACCATATAGATTGACCAGATTTTAAAGTCAAAAGAAAACACTGGAGGATCAATGACTTGTTTTGAAAGAGGGTTTCTCATTGCTTACAGAACTGGTTTAAATGGAATGGCAAACCTTTCAAAAAAGAGATGGTAAAAAGTCAGCTATCTTGCAGGCCTGCCTGAGGGTTCAAGTGACTGGCCACACTGGTTGAATCAGATGCTCTCCATTTGTGTGTAAGCTTCAAAATCTAGAGGAGAGATTTAATTATGTATGCAAAATTCAGAGTTAATCATGATGCTGACTCTTATGGTAATGAAATTAGATGTGATAACATTGCCAAAATGTTTGACCCTATTAAATGGGGAGACTTGGTCTGACTTCCTATAGAAGATTTAGTATGCTGAAATTTTCTGTGATGACATATTTTCAATAATTTTATCTTTTAGAAATTTTATTAGTGGCTTTTAATGAAGGGGGAAAAAATCATGTTTTACTGACCAACATCAAATTGTAGGATTAAGGATTGCCCCAAAAAGGCAATATCTATAATAACTTTTATATATTGTCATCTACTTGGAACCTTAAAGCACCATGAACTTACGAAGAAAACTAGGCATTAAAAGCAACTGATATTTATATTTAGACTTGAGTCTTAGTAAGTGCTGTGGCCTAATTTAAGTCTTAAAATTGTGTTGTTAGGCTGCTTCATGTCTGTGAGATTTAAATCTATAATAATAGTGGAATTTCTTGAAAATAAACATGCTTAATCTCAGATTGTAATATTTTATGTTAAATTTGAAAAGAAAGTTGTGAGAGCAGCCGATGGCTATATAGAAAACCATTTAATTTTTAGAGGAAGAAACAAGGCACCAGATGAAGAAAACAAGGCTTTTCCTGGAAACAAAGATGGCAAGGGCAGTGTAAATAACAGAACTGGTGCCTTCAGCAACAAATGAGAGCAGCATTGTATGACAATCTCTTTTCACCTTTTCTTCAGCTGCAGGGGTGATGAATGTCTGATCTTCATTTTAGTTTATGTAGATGTCAGAAACAGCCATATTTTGCTTCCCTGAATAAGCAGTAACAATGTCTATTAAATTGTTTGCTCCTGCTTCGTAGAATGCAAAACTAGATGCAGCAGCAGAATAGCAAAAAGTGAAGAAAAGAAAAGCAGTAGAAAAGTGAACAGGGAAATGCTCACGGAGGAGGAGGATTCTACCTATCCCTGCTGCCTACTTTTCTCCTTGTTGAGGGCCAGCAATAAGGCAGCACTGCCAGAAGCTATTTGGTACTATCAAGGTTTCTTTCCTCCTTGGGATATCAACATAAAAATGAATACTCATGTATAAATAAAATTGTGCAGTGGGCTGGATTTGGTCCATGTACTGATAATTCTCTACCCCAGTATATGAGAGTCAATAGTTTTATAAGCTACAATGTCTTTACAGGCTGATCTCGGTGGGTGGGTGTTATTTCTACTGTGTTAAACTTTCTTAAAAGTGTTGGTCAACTACAGTTTCTTCTGTGTAAAGCAGGGATGGATAACAATAGAATGAAATCTACTGGTAGATCTCTGGGGCATTTGCAGATGATAAACAAGTTTTCATGACTTCTAATTATCTAAACAATTGCAACAAGTAAAAAAGCTCTTTGTTTATATCCTTCCTTTATATTAGGATGCCAAAAAAGATATCAATAGATTTTTGTTAGAAATAATTTGGGATTGTTCATTACTGTTTGAGCAAGTTGGTCCTTATTTTATAGTATACACCTACATCTATACCTGTGCCATTGACTATTTTCCATATTGGCTGTGGTTGGTGGACCTTGGTACTATAATAACAATAAGTTTCTTGAAAGTTTGATGAACCATTTCTGTTAAAACTCAGATATTTAAAGCTGAATTTTTATGAGTGCTCAGTTCAGATTATTACTAGATACTTGGGGTTCCTTACTTTGTCCTGAAACTCAGGAAGTGTATCATGTGTATAAAAACATGGCTATTGGGGGAGGGCCAAAGACTGGAAATGTATATCATGAATAAGACAACTTATGAAGATTGGATTGGTCAAATTCTCTTCCTTATCCCTGTTGAAGGACTTGTTCAAATGTTAAGAAACCACAGATATCAGCAATCTATCTACAGGTGTAGATAGTTGTTTAATAATTCTTTTATGCCTGGCCTCCTCCCTCCCTGCAGTGTGTGAAAGGGCTACAATTCTTAATGCCTTGATAAGTTCCAGGTACCAGCAATATTGCAAGGAAAAAAGAGAGCACATTGTGCATCATGTTAATAAGCCCATGAATTTCAGCACAAATTATGGCAATAATAGAACAAACCTATACTGGTTTGTTTTCAGCTCAAACAAAGCACATCTGTGTGCCCATACTTTTTCTTAAAAATGGAAGACATTGGCTTTGCTTGAACAATCGAATTCATTTTTTTTTTCAGATTGTCCTGGATTTATAAACATTACAGTATCATATGGACCTGGATTTTTGACTTTGTATCATTCATTGATGACTTATTTGAGTAGCCTTTTCTATTTTTATCATGAACATTACTTTATATGCAAGATCATTCTGCAGGTCACCTACTAGTCTGCATTTCTGTGATTGTTTAGTTGTGTGGGATTGTGATTAATTGGAAGCCGGACAATTTATAAAGATTTGTATTAGTATAGTTTCTTTCTAAGAAATTTTTATGTATCACTGACTGGAGAATAAGTTTTTATTTTATAATCTCCCTAGTGTATTTTTATATACTTCTATAAATAACAAAAGATTCATCTGTTTAGTTTCTTATTTAGGTTGAATACCAGATTCCGTGTAGGAAAAATACATAATGGATCCTAGCAGTGATTATCACTTCCTTCATCATGTTTTGGGGAAAACTGTACAAATCACGTTGAAATGTGGCACATTCCAGGGGATATTGCAACATGTGGACTCCAGTCAATGTATCTTTCTAAACAGAGGTCCTGCTGCTCTTTTTTAATTCAGTGCATTTATACTGAAAATTGCAGCTAAAATTGTATTGAGATTTGATGTATTTACTTTATCAGGATGACTAATTTCTACACAATAGGGCTTCATTTTAGGTTGTCTTTTGTGCAATAGAAGCATAGTTTGGTCACAGGTTATTAAAAAGCTGAAGTATGTAAATAAATATTACATTTGGAATTATATCTCCCACCCTACCACCCAATCCACAACATTAGTATAACATGTCTCATTTTTGAGAACATTTGATTTCATTTTATTTTCCTTAGAGATCAAGCTCCAAACTTTTTTTGTCCAGAGCTTGTTTAAAAATTCACATCTGGATTGGTTGTGAAATTCAAAAATGCTGGACTGAATTCCAATTTCTTCAGAGACCTGAAATTTGAGAAGGAAATGAATAACTCCAGTACCTGAAACTATTGTACTTGAGGTGTGAGTTCTTGGCAGACAGAGTAGCAAAGCAGCATTCCTCTCTTCTCCTTACAATTTGTGTGCTGTAATTTTTTATGAACGTTTGATTGAAGGTGATCAGCAAAAGAATTGGATAAAATGTGATCAAGCTTATTCTTCCTAACAGAGGAGTTTAACTTACAATAATAGACAATCTTAGCACTGCAAAGCTGAAAAATTATCCTTGTTAATCTTTTGTAGCAGAACCATCCAGAACCAACCAAAATATAGTGCATTCGGAAAGTATTCAGACCCCTTTACTTTTTTCAATTTTGTTACATTGCAGCCTGATACTACAATAGTTCACATTCATTTTTTTTCTCATTGGAAAAGTTTGGCACAACCAGGACTCTTCCAAGAGCTGGTCGCCCAGCCAAACTGAGCAATCAGGGGAGAAGAGCCATAGTAAGAGAGGTGACCAAGAACCTGATGGTCACTCTGACTGAGCTCTGAGATGGGACCGAGATCCA